GAAAGGAGGAAAACTTTACTGTATCTGTAAATTACACATAAAATCACCCTCAGTCTTTAAACAAGAACAGTTGCAGGCTAACTGACAGAATCACGAGAAACCATACCTGTGTTATTGAAGCACTCTGCAGACTTCCAAAGACAGACCACACACCTGTCTCGTCAACAAAATAGTCCAGAGCATCTAGAAAACACAATCGCACGAAAGACTGAGAGCGTGTTACACAGAAGCTGTCGGCTGTTACAAATCACAGCAATCTGTCAGAAACAAGCTCAAAACATGTCTGATGTGGGTAAAGAGACAGCGCACTGGCACTCACCATGCACTTCGTTAACTCCTGAGCTCACCAGTAGCACAACCAGTGCCGCCACTAAACAGCGGTTCACAGTGAATCCTTTCCACGGATTTGGAACATCGCTCAGATTTTCAATGCACAGAATCCGCTCATAAGACACTGCAGACAGACACGAGTCAGACGCATTTAGTCCATGCTCAGTTTCATCAGTCTGGTGGCTGTTTAGTGAAACATGTGTCTTACTCGTGAAGCCTTCAGACAGGCCTGCTCCAGCTTCTTAAGGCTGAAAAATAACACTGCAAGATGAGGAAAGATTCGGTAGGACTGTGTGGTTGAGATTTAGTAAAATAGCAGTACACAGAATACACAGAATGATCACACGTGGGGTTTGTATAATCCTCGATATCTTATATCTGTGATCATATTCCACTTTCCCCTGTACTGCCTTTTGCACCCTCTTCCAAGCCACACACTAACATGTGACACTAACACAGCTTAAAATAGGCACACGCAGCTCTTTAGAAAGACAAATATGGAGCTCAGTGTTTAGTTCGATATGAACCTCTGGACAGAAAAATATGCTTACCTGATTTTCAGTTGTGCTTAACCACAGAGGTGAGGGATAGTAGAGCTGTGCTGCTGCGGTTGCGTACACGCTCTGCACCTGCTTCTTTGCTTGATTGACAGGCACAGGTGTGAAAACAGGGAAAGGGACACTCAAACTTAATAGCAGTAAGCCAGTAGGTGAACGAGGATTAGCAACACCCGCCTTCCAGTGCCATGAACACTCCTACTCCTCCACAGCTCAGAGGCAGATAAGCCAGAGTTACCAGGGTGGTTAAAAAGTTTACTTAATAATGAGGAGGTCCTAAAACACAACACATTGTTAAAAGTTCATCACATAATAAATGAGTCCCAATTCAAATTAAAGCAGGCACTAACAGTGTCATCCCCAGAGCCACCCACACCCTCAGTGATTCTGTATGTTACTAAATTCACATGACACTGATGTGTATGATTGGGAACCTGCAGTCTCAGTGTA